GCAATATTCTGTTTTTGTTTTTGAGATGGAGTTTTGCTATGTCATGCAGGATGATCTCAAACTCCTGGACTCAGGCAATCCTCCTGCCTCAACATCCTGAGTGGCTGGCCCTATAGGTGCATGCCACTTACCTGGCCATATATTCAGTTTTATAATTTTCCTATTGGGTCACCTATAATTGAGTCCATATAAATAATAGATGTTAAGTATGTTCAAGAAATTTAATTCAAATGGAAATGAGCTGATATAAACATACAAAAGCAGAGGGTATGACACCCAGTTATTTGAGTGTGAATCATGGCTGCCTCTCCTTCACTGTGTGACCTTGGCAAGTTACTAAACCTTTGCATGCCAGTTTCTCAAATTGAAATTGGAGCAAATAACAATGCTCACTCCTCACAGGATTAATTAGACTAGTGCCTGTATATGCTAAGTGTTCAGTAAATGTTAGCTATTAATAGTTGGAACCAAATTGTGGATGTCTGTATATCAAGCCAAGATTTTTCAGGAAAATGGGCTTGAAGGAATACTGAGAAACTCAACTGCCCTGAGTCTTAACTACAGATACAGACACCTAAGTCTTACTGCATCCCAGGCTGTGCTTTCCGTGCAGGTAGGTACCATTTTAATTACATCTTGGTATTTGAGGGCAGTACTTACTATATGCATATTCATCTCTATAGTAATTCTTTACATTTTAAGCTTGAGTGTCTAGGGTTTTTTGTTTCCTTCTCGTTCTGGAATGAGAGGAATAAAATTCATGAAGTGAGATTTTTACAAAAGTGGAGTAGAAGAAGCCAAAGTTTATAATCCTCCAGTGTAGTCCTGGTTAAGTAGTATTTCTGCTAGGCTTTAGACAGAATTACACAGTGTTCACAGTTTATCTCCTGTTTACCTTTCAGATCACCAAACTTTGGCATCAGAACAAGACTCATGTCTGAAAATGTTCCCACTCAGCCCCATTAAAAAGATTAAAGAGATTTTACTTCAACATGACAGGCTAGGTACTGCAGAGCCTACAAAGGTAAGTGACAAGTTTCCCTTTCCAACTTAAGAGACAAACATGTTATTAAAATATCAGAACCATGATAAGTTTTTTAGGTTTGTGTTCTTAAATAAAAGGCAGAAAAGGAAGCATTTCAGACTAAGGGATGGTAGATAGGTTAGTATAGCTGGAGGACTGAGGTGTGATTAGCAGGAGAGACCGGAATGCCAAGCACTAGAGTTTGGACCTTTATGTCTGTGTTGTTAAAACATCTTAGGAAATATCACTAGTCCACATCCCTCCAAGACTATCTCCTATTCTGTAAACCAGGGAAGGAGACCACCTGGGATGCTACTGTGGTGTAGTTTAGTTGAAGAGCAGGAGGGATGGAAAAAGAAGGAAAGTGATATGATAAAGAGACAGGAAGGGAGAGAATGGAATAAACTGAATTGATAGCAAGGAAAAAGAGTCCAGGATGTGTTGTGTTTTTGGTATCAGTGTGGAACTGTGATTGAAACTACCTTCCTCCATAGAAATAATGGCCTTTTATAGGTTAAAACTATGCTAAGCAGACATCTTTTAAACCCTTGATTAGTTTTA